TGCTCGAGCCCCTGCTTCTTACCCCCACCTACACCAGGGCCTTCCCCATTCTTCCCAGCAGCTCCTTCCATCCTCCAGCTTGAGTGGGGACTTGCTCCCAGAGAAGGCCTCCTTAGACTCAGTTTCTCTTCTCCTACAGTGGAGAGCATGCTGGCCAATTCTTGGGTCTGCCTGGGGTTCCAGCTGACTGGCTTTCCTGCATCATTAGCACCTGGCCTGCAGGGCTCGAAAACTTCTCACATTCACAGCTGGTCTCCCCTCCCTGCCACTTGCCCCGGGGGCCCTGGATGCTAGGGATTCCTTCCCTTCACCCTAGACCTTTCCTCATTTGATGCCAATGGGGTTCATGCCCTTAGCGTCCTTCAGAACCAAATCTCCAGTGGGGGGGGGCAGGGTTGGGTGTTTGTCGGGTGAGGCTGCCATCTGAACCACACTGTCCTTCCACGCTTGACTGTGAATTCCATCAGTCAGTGTGAAACACTTCCCCGGCTGCTCTTGGTGAAGTCAGAGCTCTGGTCATCATTTTATTGATGAGGGAATAGGCTGGGAGAAGGCAGGTGGGTGCCATGGCAACACTGTACAGTTAATAGTAGAGCCGGGATAGCTGGGGTGAAAACTTGTTTGGGTCTGCCTGGTCTGCAGCTAAGACCTGTTTGTCCTTCCCCAACAAGGCCCCCTCCCCCACCCTTCGTCTCCCACTATGGTCACTGCCACCGCCTGCTCAGGCCTGTGCGTTTGCTGGCCTCTGTCTCTGCACTGGGTCTACCATGTCCAGCAGAGATCTGCTCCTGAATGGTGCTGGGCTCTGAAACGGCTTCGTTCAGATCCACACGGAGCAAGGAAAAGAGGGATGGGAGAGATGAGCACACAGCAATGCTGACAGCCTTGGCAAAGAAGGATCAGGGAGGAAAGGGAAGGTCAGGGTGTGCTGCCTGGAGGAGGTTGCCTTGCAGAGGGTCTGGAAGGATGTTGGAGGGAAAAACACTGGGCGTGCAGGAGGGAGCAGCGTCCCAGGCATTTGGGACGTTTGTGGGTCCCCATGCAATCTGAGGAACCTGACCTTCCCACAGGCTGCCAGGGTGTGAGAAGCGTGTCTCTCACGCCCCATTCCTGAGGCACACACGTCCAGCCTGTCTTTCTCAGGAACTCCGATCCCCACCTCAGGCGGATCAGCGGGCTCTGCCATCTTGTTTATAACTGTGACTCGGTGTCTACGGTAGACGAGGTGACAGAGGAGACTTTTGTTCTGCTTGTCTTAATTTTAATTTTAGGGGATGGAAGAAATCTGGGCATGCTTGGCGAGGGTGGGAAATGGGGGGGAGCAAGCCTCCTATAGCTTCTCCAAATGGCCTTCAAAGGGCTTTGGGATGGGGAGGGTGGGGAAAAGAGGATGTGGGGAGCCTGGAGGAGATCCTCTGTGGGAAGACAGAAGACGGCCTCACACAGGCCGGAGGAGGCAGTGGCGGTAGCCGTGATGGAAGACGAAGGGTGGAGCAGTGGAAGAACAGACAGGCCCTGGCTGCCGGCGAGGCAGGCCAAAGGTTCAATCCCAGCTGTCCCAGATACGCTACAATATAGTGTTGTCACGGCACCCACTTGCCTACTCCCAGCCTATTCTTTCATTAATAAAATGATGCCAAGAAGATGGCGTACAAGATTCTGTGTGTGTGCAAAAGCACTACTCGGCTATAGTCAAAATACTCTTCTGTTCCCAACCCTCCAGATTCTCTGTATTCTCGGGAAAGACAATGCCTTGTCTGGGCCTCAAGAGACATTGAAGACATATTTCCACCCACCCCGAGCCTCCCATGTTTCCATCCCAGCCATCTGGGCTGAGCCACACATTGCACCTAGCATGCGGCAGCCATGACAACTGGACCTGCTTCCGTCTGCAGTGCTTGGGTCATCACCATGGAGTCTGGAGACGGAACTGGGTCTAGCGTATCTCTCTAGAGCTGGTGCTGGTGCACTGGGCTCTGCCTCAGTCTTCAGGCTGAGATTTCTCACGTGCTGTACCTGGGTGCCCTCTGCTGGTCCATTGTGGTTACTGCTCCTGGACCCCCAGAGCTTCCTGGAAGAGATGGCCTTTCTCTTCCTCCCTTCCTCACAGCTTCGTCGGCCCTAGACCTCCAGGATCATCACCAGCAACCCTTGGTCCTCTGACCTCTCTGCACACATTCCACTCTAGAGTGCTTGTCTCCTGGACAGCCCGCTTCCTATCTGCTCTTCCCCAGCCTTTCTTAGAGACATAGAAAGTGCTCTTTTGGGCCACCTCTTCTTTCTCTGTCCTTCACAAAGCCACAACAGGTCACCATAACCACCCCCCTGCTTCCCCTGCTGCGTGAAGAGCCTGTTTCGATGGGCTCACTGTCACCTCTATTTCAGAGGTCTTGCTACCCCACCTAGCTTCCCTCCCCGTCTATCATACTCTCCACCTTATCCTATGGTACCTGTGTCTCTCCCAGCACTTCAGCTGTAAAACTCTCTAGTGCCTTAGTACGACCACAGCTCCCTCTAGGCAGCATTCCTAGCCAGCACTCTTCACAGATAGCCTCTTTACCCCCTGCCTCTCACCTTCCACGCCTTACCTCCGCTCAGTTAATCACAGCAGTCCACTCTTGGTGCCTCCCCCACCCCCACCCTCAGTTCCCCGTCCTGAGTTCATCCTCCTGCCTCCGTCTTCCAAGTGTTTCATTGTGGGTGTATGCCACTCGACCCTGCTATTTGCTTTAATTTAAAAACTTGCAGCTGGATATTTTAGCTTGTGCCTATGAGCCTAGAGGTGGAGATACTGAGGCAAGAGGATTGCTGTGGGTTCAAGGCCTGCCTACAGAATGAGAGACTGCCTCAAAACAACAACGTCTAAGTGACGCTTTGCAGTCTAAGCCTGTGGATTCCAGCGTGGTTCTCAGAATTCAGAGGCTCAGTCTGTGATTCCTGTCAGAGGATCTCAGGAGACTGTGCGGCCTCAGGCAATGATATCTTACCTTGGTGCTGACCCCGCTCCTTTCTCAGGTTTCCAACACTCCCTCCCCAGAAACTGACACCTTGCTTCCCACTCAGGTACAAACGTACACACCCACCCTCAACAGCTGACTTCGTGTACCCTTCTGCATCCTCTGCTGGAGTGGTGAAGGTCTCTGTGCCCACCCAGGAGGCTCTGAGAGCTTCCTTTTCCCCCAAGAAAGACTCCTCTCCCCTAAACTGCCAGCTGGCCCCTCAGTGCGACTCATCCCAGAATGCTCTACCTCTCCCATCACGTAAAAAAAAAAAAAAAAAAAAAAAAAAAAAAGCTTTTTTGGCCCCATATACCCTTCACCTACTGTCTATTTTGGGGTGCATTTTAAAATTATGTTTAAATTTTAATTGCCACACAACAGTTTGCGTGCGTGTGTGTGTGTGTGTGTGTGTGTGTGTGTGTGAAGTACAGTGTGGTGTTTAGGTGCATTTATGTAATATGTAATGATCAGGTTTGAGTAATTAATATATTGATGGCTTCAGGCACATGCCACTTCTGTGTGGTGAGAACAGCCAGCAGCATTTTTTTGTGGCTAATTTGAAATCTGCATGATATTTAGCGGCAGCCGATTTCTCTTTGTACCAGCCTGGCCTCTCCAGCCAGAAGCTTTCCCCTCAGGGGCCATTTGGTGGCCGTCCTGTGCTGAAGCTGCTCGCCATCTTCTGGTGATAGTTCTGATAGCATTTCTCCTCTAATGGGCCACTTCCCTGCCTGGTAGGTGCTTTCAGTGAACCCTGGGTCCCCCATCTTGGAGTGACACAAATACTGTCAGCCCAGCATCTTCCTGTTTGAGTCATAGCATCTAGTGAGTGAATGGCTCAAGAGGTCAAGAAGTGTAAACAGAGAGCCCCGGTTTCCACAGTGAGCTCCTCTCCCCAGCTCCGCAGGCAACAACACCATACTTCTAGCCACATAGGCCCAACCATGGCCCCTTTCTCCTCCCTGGTCATCAGCACTGCAGGGTGGCTCACCAGCTCCCGACTGCCTTCTCTGTTTCCCTCCCCAGCCCTGCTACCATCTGTCTTTTATATAGCAGCAGTCCTTTAACGATGGGTCAGATAAATGATTCCCCACTCACAGCTGTCACCGTGTCTCCACCTGAGACCCCAGAGGGTGTGGAAGTTCCTAGCACACTTCATCCATGTTGGCCTCCTGTGGGATGCCTCTTGGGCCCACCTCCCCATCTGGAAGCCTAGTTCACTATGCCCAGATCCTGTTCTCTGCAGCCCTTTCCTCCAGGGTGCTTTCCCACTCCCTTCAAACACTCCTTAAGCACCTGACTTCCTTACTCAGGTTATGTTCCAATATCCTGATAGGGAAGGAGCATGGTGTGTGTGTGTGTGTGTGTGTGTGTGTGTGTGTGTGTGTGTGTGTG